AATACTATTTCTTAATTAATAATTATTTTTATATTTCCGATAAAAAACAATAACATACACATATATAAACAATTTTCCAAGTTATACAACAAATATATATTTACGATAAAAAACAATATCATACATAATTATATAAACATTTTATTAAACATATTTTCAACTTAAGCGACAAATATATAAACGACAATTTTTCAACTTAAACAAATTTTCAACTTAAACGACAAATACATAAACATTTTTTATATTTCTAATTATATAAACTAACATTTTATAATCATATAAACAAACAATTTTTCAAATAAAACGACAACCAAATTAACAATTTTGCAAGTTATACGACAACAATTGTTCAACTTATACGACAAACACAAACAATTTCTAACAATATATATACAACAAATTTTCAACTTATACAAATGCTATACTTATAAAACAAATATATATACAAACGACTATTTTGCACATACTATAATTTAACTATTTTTTAATTTATATAAACAATTATACGATAACAATATACAAGATTTCAGGTTATACAACAACTAAACAAACAACAAAAATAACAAATTGTAAACATTATCTACACAGTCTCTACTTGTACATTCAAACAAACACGAACAAAATACCATTTAAGCTTCAAGTATACTAAAGAAATATTAAAACTATCAAAATACAACAAAATTACCCTTTTTTAACACTAAATAATACAATAAATGATAAAAAAAAAAAAAAAGCTTAAACATTTAAAGAGTTAAAATCTAACCATATTCGCCGGATTGTTGACATAATCCTCCATTTTCTTCAAAAACTAGCCAAAATCGCGAAAAAAGCCCAAAGATAGAGAGAGTTAGAGAGAGTTTTTGTGTAGAGAAGGGTGAAAAATGGAGAAAAAAAACGTTTATATAGTGAAAGATGGGGGATTTCGCAGATAGGGTGTTAATTTCGCAGATGGAGTAAGCCATATGCGAAAGTACAAGCAGCTAAAGCACAGCTGTGCTTTAGCTGCTTGTACTTTCGCAGATAGTATGCTGATTTCGCAGATGGGGCATTTCCATCTGCGAAATCGTTGGCTATTTTTGTAATTTCGATATTTTTTGGCTATTTTTGTAATGTAATTAGTGTAAATGGCTATTTTTGTCATTTTCTCTTTTTTTCTAAATAAAAATATTACTTTTCAATCTAAAGTAATACTATTATGGTAAATATTTTTGAATGAACTCTATTATGGTAAATATTTTTTCTAAAGACTCTATTATGGTTAAAAAGTCTTGTTTGCTAAGTGGTAAAGTACTTTTAAAAATAACTTTTACCAAAACACAAAACTGACATTTACAAAAGTCGCGCGGTAAAGTACTTTTAAAAATAACTTTTACCAAAACACAAAACCGACATTTGCAAAAGTCGCACATCCGTGACTTTTTGTATCTTTTTGAACTTTTAAAGTTGGAAACGCAAAAAGAATCTCAAATACTTTTTAAACAACATCTTTTGGAAAAATGTCTTTTACAAAAAAAACTTCACCTTAAAAAGGAATCCCAAATACTTTTTGTATCTTTTTGAACTTTTGAGAGTTTGGAACTAACATATTTTATCTTAACTGAGGACGAAGCTGATGTGGGCAGAGGAGCTTGAATCAGGAGGAACATATATCCAACTCCTATCTCTCAACGATATTTCCAGACCATAATTGTTGTTGGATTGCAATACCGAAATGGTTTGTGGGTGTGTGTTCTCTAAATTTAATCAATTCCCTTCGTATCGATTTGTATTCTTGAAGCTCTGGGCATGGTGGATAGTAATTCAACCTGAAAACCGAGTCGCTTTGCCTTTCATTAACAGTTTGCTAAATACGTTTCGTGGTTGCAATTTCAATTCATCTGTTGAGAATTTAAGAATGTCACAAGTCATCTTCTTCACTATTGTCACGTAATCATTCACCAGACGTCTACAAAAACAAATTAAACCAACCTTTAGACCATATAGAAATAGAAGGGAAAAAATAAGCTCGAAGATTACACATTTTTAATGGATTCTTATTGGAATTTTTCTAGGTGTTCTTAAAAAATGGAGAGAGTTGGATTTTTCTAATCATGTTCAAGTTTGGCGTTGAGAAGAAGATATTCAACCCAACCAAAATCACTGTTTTGGCCATGACGTTTGTTTCCATAGACGAAGGGGGTGGGTGGGCCTGCTTTTTGTTTGAGAAAGAGACCATTATATATATATATATATATATATATATATATATATATATATATATATATATATATATATATATATATATTCTTTTTCTTCAATAAGGAAAAACTTCATAAATGGTCCATGAGGTAGTGAAATGACGAAAATACTCTTGAATTAATAGACAAAAGATGACCGCATCAGCTAACTTTTGAAACCATAGGGATCATCTGTAAGGTTTTTTTGAACTCAGAGACTAAACTTCAGATTTTATGAAATCGTAGGGACTATTTATGAAGTTTTATCAAAATTTATTTTGGAATTTAAAACATTACGAAATAAAATATTAAACGTGATGTCGCATGTTCATACGATCTCTTGTAGCTACAGATACACACCATCATGGTCGGTCCAGACGGTGGGCAACCCAGGCGACCGCCCAGGGCCCACAACTCCGGTGGGCAACCCAGCCTATATATATATATATCAAAATGATTTTTAGGGCCTAAAGTTGGTTCAAATTCAAACTAGCTCAAAATATAAACAATTTGATTTGTTTGTTGTTTGTAATTGAACGTGAAAACAGTGAAAAATAAATAATATTGTTTTTGAATTTTTATTATATTTCTCTTTAAAAGGCTCTTTTTTTTTTTTTTTTTTTTTCGTCCCGAACCCTATATACGTTTGTATCTGCCCTGCTGACACCATCTTTTTTGAGTGTTGCTAACATACCAAAACTAACATTTATTGTTAATGAGATTCGTTTAAGACCTCGATGCAATATTTATGAAAAAGTATCATTCAAGATTATTGCTACTTACATTAAAAAAAAAAAAAAAAAGAAGTCCATACTTAACAAGTCGCCATGAAATTTCCCCTATAAACTAAGGTGGTAGAGCAAATATGTTGGTAACGGATGATTATGTACATGTTGGGTGGATTAGAAACAAACTTTGTCCAAAACCTTTTTTAAAGAATTAGTGTATTATATATTTACAATAGATGCATTATTATAATAAATATATATGGCTTTTGTATAAAAGGGTTTAGAAGATTTTGATTTATTGTATTTTAAATAATTTATTTAGTTTATCCATTAAATATAAAATTACTAAAATCAACCCATTGTCCAAATTTTGCGTATGCTAAAAGCCTAAATTAAAGCCACTCTCAAGAACTCTTCATGTATGTCAATGGTCATCTCGCTGTCTCCACGTAAGTTTAGTGACACAAATGGATTGGATACAAGATTTCCAAAAATTAAATAAATTAAACCAAAATAAATCCTAATGATTAGGAAGAAAATTGGCCACTTAAGGCCTGTTATAAAGTTAACGTTTCTGCATATAAAGCAATATATTCAGCCATGTTTAAAAGAGGAGCCATTAGATTCTCTGCGTTTGCCTGCTCCACCACCATGGTGGGGTGGTGCCGCCCACACCAGAGGCTGAGGAGAAGGTCGGCCGCCACAATCCGGTTGGGAAATAAGCTCCGATCAAGATCACGGGTGGTGGTGGTGGTGTGGCCGTTTTTGATCTTGAAGAAGTTCATCATGAAGATGGTATCAAAAGGAAGGTTCGTGGAAGCCTATTATTTGACGTTACCAATTCTCAAGCCCCAATTGTTTCCTCTCTGTTGACTTTTTTAAAATAGTTGGTGTATGTATCTAATTGTGTTCTTTCTACTTAATTAAATTGGATGCATACACTCTAATACCTATCAGTTCATGTGTCATTCCCTTTCTCTCAACACAACAAAACTTGACAAAAAAATTGCAAGTTTTGTCACGTCCAAAAATGTGATAATCAATATGCTGGAACTATATCCAAGGGAAACATTATATGCTGGAACGATACTTGCAAATTTCAATTCAAAGTAATCAATATACAATGGATCATTACATATAATTAACAACTAAAGTGTGTAGCAATCTGAGTATATCCAGAGAAATTTCAAGTTTCACAACATGCATAAAGTTTAAAGATATATATCTAGATCACTTTATCAAAGTGCGATAGATGACATCGGAAACATAAACGAGTAAACACATAAGTTGGAGGTATATGAGTTGTGTGAGAGATGGACTTAATTACCATATTGACACCTAGGTTGCAAGAGTGAGGGATACTATCTGGATGGATACAGCACCAACAACGACCACACATGATTAAGTATCTGTATACGTGTAGTAACACAGTGGTAAACTCCGTCGTCCTGTTTGATTCACCTTATCATGGATGGGTGAATGGAAGAAATGCCGGAATATTATAAGGTGTTTCTTTTTTTACTTGGACTTAATGCATGAAAAAACTTAATGGTTCAGCTATACATGGTTGTTTTTTTTTTTTTTTTTTTTTTTTTTTTTTTTTTTTACTTAATGCTAACAAAATGTCTTTACGGTTTAAGTTAGGAAATGGAACTTCATTAACATTAAGTCATGATTTTATATTTGTTTTCCTAACTTGCCCTTATTTTTCCCAACAAAAATCACAGGGAAAATGATTTGAGATGGTAAGTTATTTTTTGAAATATACACATTTCGTTGTTATTGTTATTGTTATTATTATTATTATTATTATTATTATTATTATTATTTGTAAATTAAGCCCTTATATTCGATTTTTTGTAATTGTTCAATCCTTTTGACCTGGTATAGCCGGTATACCGGTCATATAACATTTTGATTTTATTTTCTTGAAATGAATTGAATAGGTGTCATCATGCATGGATAAAATGACAATTAGGGCTCATTTCATCAGCCATTCCTCCATTCACTCAGTCGATAATTCCTCAAAGTTCTTGATTCACAATTACAATCAACAATGGTAGAAGATGCAGATACGATCATTGATGTACACTATCAAGGGCTGTTTACACCTACCCCATTGATTTATTTTGATGGAGTAAAAGCCTCGGTACCTCAGACGGTTGTGAAGAAGATGAACTTCGGTGATTTCATCCCCTTTCTTGAAAAGCTTACTATCGGAAGACGTAGAGATGTGTATTACTGTCCACATGAAGTGAGGTTGTCGGAGGGATTACATGCTATTCATAATGACTGCGATTTTAACGAGTTTCTTGAAGATATGAATGAAAAGAAGAGATTAGATGTGTATGTGGATCATCATCATGAATCTTTGTTTGATTGGATTCAGGAGGAAGAAGCAAAACTTGAAGATGAAGATTTGGTTTCTATTGATGATGTCGACTCCATTTTAGAAGATGGTCTGAAAGCTCAACATGTAGAGGACGATGAAGTTATATCTCTCAAAAGAAATTTCAATGATCCATTCCTCAACAAACTTTGTCCAATACATAATGATGACTTGGTTGAAGAAGATCATAATGCAATACGACCTATCTACCCAAGACATGATCATACTCAAGAATGGAATCAGATGAAGCCTCGATTAGGTATGAAATACTCTACTACTGTTGAACTTAAATACTCTCTTAGTTGCTATGCAGTAGCAAATGGTTATGATTTGTGGTATGAAAAGAATGACAAAACTAGGTTGCTAGTTAGGCATTGTAAAGGAAAGAATCCCACATGCCCTTTTACATTGTATGCTTCCTGGATGAAAGAGGAACACACTTTTCAGATTAAGTCTCTTATAACAGAGCACAACTGTTCTAGGGCATTCAAACTTGGTTCAATTGTAACATATAAGTGGATAGGAAAACAATTTGTGAATGATGTTTTGGAGAGTCCTAAACTAAGTTTGAGGAAAATGAAAGCCCTGGTATCTAAGAGATATAACATTAATGTGAGTGTTGGGCAGTGTAGGAATGCAAAAAAGTTAGCATTGTCTGAAGTTGAGGGAGGTTTGAAAGAACATTATGCCAAATTGTGGGATTATGCAACTGCAATCAGAAGAGCTAATCCAGGTTCACATGTTGAGGTGTTCTTGGAGCCACAACCTGATAATATTGTGGTGTTTGATAGGTTTTATGTTAGCTTTAAAGGTGTTGTAGATGGGTGGTTAGATGGATGGAGAAAGGTAATTGGGGTTGATGGTTGCTTTCTTAAGGGTGTTTGTAAAGAGGAGCTCCTATCAGCAGTGGGTAGAGATGCTAATAATAACATTTATCCCTTAGCTTGGGCAGTAGTCAATGTTGAGAACAAAAGGACATGGAAATGGTTTTTGGACAACCTGATGGAAGACATTGGAGGGGGGAATGGTCATGGCATTACAATCCTCTCAGACGGCCACAAGGTAATCATTCTATTTTGTTCAATTAACTTTAATTGTTTTGGTCATTTAACTAACTAATCATTTTATTGTTTGAATCAGGGATTATTTGAAGCTGTAAAGGAAAGACTTCCTGATGTGGAGCATAGATTATGTGCTAGACACATTCTAGATAATTTTCACAAAAAATTTAAAGGAGTACAATACTTTAAACCATTTTAGAGGGCTGTGAATGCAACAACTGTACCTAAGTTTGAAGCAGCAATGAATGAGATTAAGTCCTTGGAAAGTAGTGCTTATGACTATCTCATAGAAAGGGATCAAAGGTGTTGGTCAAAGGCTTTTTTTAAAGAGGGTATGGATTGTGATACAGTAGAGAATGGAGTTTCTGAAAGTTTCAATTATGTTGTACTTGATGCTAGAAGGAAACCATTGATAACAATGTTGGAGGACATAAAATGTTGGGCAATGCAGAGGTTATGGATGCAGAAGCAAAATGGTTTGAGTTGGGATTTGGACATATGCCCAAGTATCAGAAGGGAAATAGAGGATTTGAAAGAATTGCAAAGGTTAGTAACTATTTCATTATTTATACATAGGTTTTATAATGGTAACTAACTATCTTCTTGTATATTGACAGATTTTGGGTACCTTATGTGAGTGGCTACAAAGAATTTGAAGTGTTCTCAGGAAATGAGAGGTATGTTGTTGATCTGAATTAAAGGGCATGTGGATGCAGAAGCTGGCAACTCACAGGCATTCCATGTGTACATGCCATATCAGCAATTTCATTATTGAACCTAGATGTGGAGGCTTCTGTATCCAACTCCTATACTAAAGCCTTTTTCCTTAGTAGCTACGAGTATAACATCCATCCACTCAATGATAGTTCTGAGTGGCCACATGTTGAAGGACTTCATACTATTTTGCCTCCATTAAAGAGGAGGTTACCTGGTAGGCCATGTGTCAAAAGGAAAAGAGATCAGGCAGAAAGAAAGCTAAGTGGGCACACAAGGCATACTGTGTCAAGGGCAGGCATTCCTCTAAGATGTACCATTTTCCACCAAACTGGCCACAACAAATCCACATGCCCAAGTAAGCCAGCTCCAGCTCCAACCACAGCGTGTCCAAGTCATTCAACTCTAGATTCAAGCAAAGCAGGGCCAAGTCATGTGAAGAAGGCTCCTGTGAAGAAGGTTCCTGTGAAAAAGGCTCCTATGAAGAAGGTTCCTGTGAAGAGAAGTCCTATGAAGAAGGTTCCTTTGAATGATACTGGTAGGGTGAGAAAGTTTTCAGAAAGAATCACAGAAATTGGGCTTCAAAAAAATGTTAAAGTCAAGGATGGAAGTGGATGCAGCCAAGACAAACCTGTAACCTTAGAGTAATTAGGTTTTGATGTAGTGGGGTAATGCATGTGATATATATATATATATATATATATATATATATATATATTGATGTAGTGTGGGGTAATCTTTTGAACTTAATTACTATATTACCCCTACTAGTTGTTTACTTTTGATGTACTTGTCGAATCTTTTGAACTAAATTACTGCATTACCCCTGCTGGTGGGCTTATCTTTTGTGATTATTAAATGGCTTGATGCCTTTTGTCATCCTTTTTTATTTGTCTTTACATCCAATTCTCTATAAAAGAATCTTTCCTGTAATTTGTCTTGGTTTTACCTCCATTTGACTGAGTTAATTACATCAACATCTATATATAATAACAATAAACTTTACCATTACATAAACATAAAGAACATCACTCTACCATTACATAAACATAAAGTACACCAACAACCATTACATAAACATAAATTACATCAACATCCATTACATAAACAAGAATTACACAACAAGTCTATTACATCAAAATCCCATAAAAACCACCAGAAGCATATCTTCAACCCCAAAACATAACCTTAACGATGATCAACAGAATCAGTATCTGAATCATAACCTTCAACTGTTTCATTTCTTCTCTAACAGATGCCACATCCTCTAAAACTTGTTTAAGATAATCTGCAAAATCTGAAAGAGTATCTTCTATAATGGCCTTCATATTCTCAGGTTCTTCATCAATCCATTCCCAAAATTTACACTTTTTCCCAGGTTTCTGTAGTAATAAAATTAACAACATAGCAGTAAAGAAGAAGAAAATTGATTCGATTTGATAAATAAAATCAATTTAGGTATTTACCAATGTGTTAGGGCACACTCGAAATTTCTTTCCAGTGTTATCTTTGGTCTTGGAGGTACGAGTTCTTGAAGGGAGTTCACAATCACAGAGGACGTCCTTATCTACTCTCTGATTGCTTGAACCTTTGGAGATTCTTGAGCCACTTGACATCTTCTTTCTTCTTCTACGAAATCCCCACTTCTATGTGTTCGAGTGTTAGGCGTGTCAGACCCAACAAATAAAAGGGTACAATAGACTCCAAATACACTGCTTTAATGCACTAAAAAGTAGTACAAGGCAAGCAGGGTCGAACCACAGAGACACGGGACAAAAGTCTATACCTTTTTGCACAAGGTAATTTGGTCACAAAGAGGGGGTTTGTTTGCAAAAGTAAATAACTAAATAACAATCTACTTTAAAAGCATGCACAAAATGAAATAAATTTGTGAACAAATTGATTGAATGGTTCTAGTTCTAGTTCTCAATGTTGTTGTTCAACTTGATTATGACTTGATGTAATTCAAGATTGCTATTCTATGTTGGTACTGAAATATATTAACACGCTCTAATAACTCTCGCTTGCCAAATTATCTAACCAAAACACGCTCTTTGATTAGACCTAGCTTTACTAATTCAACCTAAACACGCTCTTAGATTGTATTGAAAAACTGCATTAAGTTTTGTACAAGCTTCCCAACAATGTTCATTTCTTCTCATACGCTCGGAAGTGTGAAAACATGTGATATATGTTTTACAATAAGAAAACTTATTGCTTGTTACCAATTATTAACTCAATAGAACGATTAGGTGCCCTAAAAGTTAATTAACTGCACAAAAATTCAATTCACGAAAGTGGCCAATCAAACACAAATCAAATTCAAGGATTCTAGTTTAAATAAAAACATAATCACTAGAATAGAATCACAAATCAAACATCAAATCTTATGCTTCAAGTCAAGCAATCAACATTTTTTTGAACAAGAACTAGAACTAGGGTTTCTTAGCCACACATGGCTAAGAACAAATCAAACAAGAATAAGATGGAATTGGAATGTTTAATCCTTACAAAAGTGAAATCCAAATGTTTGCAATGATTAAGTCTTCTCAAAAGCTCCAAGAATTCTCCCAAAATTGGCTTGGATCGCCAGAAACTACTCCCAAAACCGTTCTGTCTTCAAAATGATGTCTCCTGCTCTTTTATTAAAGTTCACGTGACATGCCATGAGGCCATGCGTTTTTAGCATGGCCATGCCTTTTGCCCATGTGTTTTTTTTGGCATGGCCATTTGTCTTGACCATGTGTTTTTTTGGCATGGCCCGTGCTTTTTGCTAAAATTCCAAAGAGTCTTCACTGTTGGCTCCATCTTCATGTTTTCTACCATGGAATGACCGGTTCATCTTCTCTTCATGTTCCAAAGCTCTACGCTCCAAACATCCAAGCATCCATGCATCCAAGCTCCACGTTCCATGCTCCATAATGCCTACAAAATAAATCAGAAATAGTGAAGTACCATGCATTCTTAATGAAATATGCAATTACCCTAATAATCAACTAAATGCAAGAATTATAAAGTAGAATGCTATAAAAAGATGGAAATAAACATGCAAAATAGGTGCATAAAATGCACCTATCAAACCTCCCCAAGCTTAGACCTTTCTTGTCCTCAAGAAAGAACAAAATTGAGAATTGGCCTAGAGAAGACGATAGGCGACTAAAAAGAAACTAAGATGAAAAGAATGGAAGGAACGAAAATGACTAAATGGAATTAAGAATGCATGCATGCAATAAAAGAAGTACTAAATAAAATAACATATGTACAAAAAGATATTTTATTTTTATACATTAATGCAATAAACAAAACAAAACGAACATATTCAATCCAATTAACCTCATTATGTCATACAGTCGAAGGTGTACCTGTCGGGTCTTGAGATGACTTGAGATTAACCCCACAAAGATATATAACATGTAAAACAAGGTTTTTAGCCATTCCCTAATGCAACTCAACAAAATCAGAAGTTACAACACTTGTTCACTTTTACAGGTATTGGGTTACCACATGGAACAAATTGTGGTCTTACTCTTGTGAAAACATGTGATGCAAAATATGCTCAATCATTTTCATTTTACAAAGCATGACAATGACCGACTCCAGCTATTTGTTGACTAACAACAATCTTTTTCTAAAAAATATTTTCTAAAAATTCTCTAATATTTACCTAGATTGGTTACATGTTTCAAACCACTTACACCAATCAAAGTGGTTTACAGTCAGTCCCAATGTTTACAGCCAAACATTTTTTTTTCAAACACATTATTCAATTAAAATATAAACATAAATATATATAAACTATCTAATTATATTTTTCTACAAATAAAGCTCATGACTTTCTTTGAAATCCATGTAACGGGCTTCCAACCAACACATCCAAATCAGATAACCTTAGTGTGCTAGATTTAAAGAGATCCCTCGGGTTTACTTGCCCGTACCTCAAAGGCCACAAATTAGCTTTATTTGTTATTATTAAGTTCATGATTTTCTATGGAACCCGTGTAGCGAACTTTCAACCCAATCAGTCCCAAACAATTTTGCTTTAGGCAATTAGGTGTAAAACACCCCTCGGAGTTTACTTGTTCGAATCCCAAAGGTCACAGATTAACTTAATAATATATATATATATATATATATATATATATATTTAATTTAATTTTTTTTTTGGGGGGAGGGACTGATGTAAACGCGCAAAGACCCGTAAGTATAGTCGGAAACAATGTCCCTAAGCAGGGTATTTAGAAGGGAATAGGTAGAAAAGACTTTTTAGAGCGCTGGAGAATTCGAGTCACTGAAATTTTATATTCATTTTATGACTCTTTGAAATTGGAGTTTGGATATGAATGAGCAATAACTCATAAGACGGATCGTGTGTTCCAAGGGCTAAACTATATCTGTCTTTATGATGCGGTGTTGATAACTTCATCATTTTTTGTTTTGCACGAGTAGCTTCGGGAGACATGTTCGTGTGAGATTGGTTTGCTTCAAGAGTTTTAATGAAAAACGAACAAGTTCTAATCTCAAGCCACGACTAATCTACCACTTCAACTTATTCGACAAGATGAGGTTTCTTTAGATTGATTTTTTTTTTTTGATGAAATGCATGTGGAAACTAGAACCTAATGTACAAAGACCCTTCCCCAAGCTTAAGATCAAGCATTGTCCTCGATGCTCGGAGAGGGTAGGGCAATCTACTAGCCGCGAGGGGCCCAACGCTGCATGAACTGCATGGCTTGTTGTACCGTTTGGGTTAATTGTTGAACGTCAGCGCGAATGTCAGCAACAGCTTGATCAAGGTGATCAAAACGCCTCATGTATATGTCGTGGTACTGAGTCGCCCGCCGGGTGTAGAAATAACGTGCAGTTTCTACTGGGGCAGCAGAAGTGGACCCCCTTGCAGTGGGAGCAGTGGAATGAGCGGGAGGAATAGGGGTGTCGTCTCTCGGGATGGGCGCGGGAGCGCGTGGGATGGAATTTGCAGAAGTGTTCTTTGGTAGACACCACCGAGTCTTAGTGATGTCCTACTGGAGTTGGAGAGAGCTGAAATCCCCAGCAGGAACTCGGAGGTGTGGCTCACCTTGCACCAACCATGTGATACTGCCATCACCTTCTTTACGGAAGAAAGATGAGGCTATAAGGACATTGGATGTGATGGTATTAGTGCCATGCGTGATTTTCTCGAGGTCCGGGCGCTTGCTCTCAAAAAGCTCGGCACAAACAAGGCGGGTGGCAAGATAGGAGATAATCCCACCACAATGAATAGAGCCCGAATCGCTAGTAGAGACCTTAAGGAGTTTGGAAGCAAGGAAGGCGCCAAAATGAGGTCTCTTCAAGCCGGTGACCATGCACCAAAGAATTTCTAACTCCATCTTACCGGCTCTGCTAACGTCTTCTTGGGGGAAGACAAGGTTGGCAATAATTCGGAGAGCCACCCTTAAGACTGGATGGATGATATGAAATGCTTTGGCGGATCGAGCCTCATACACATTAAGTCCTGTGATTTCCTTCCAAAAGGCTTTGGCTTGGGCTTTAAAAAGATTATTCTTCTCTCGCATGTAGCCTAATTTAGGACCATATGTATTGAATTTAGAAATCCCAACAAACCCACTAAGATCGTCTAGACTCGGTTTAAATTGCATACGCATGAGACG